TTTTTAGCGGACTATAGACGTTATAGAGAGTATTGTCCAGACCATTGAGGACATAGTTGCGACACAGGAAGTCAGAATGATTCCATGCATCCACAGCAGCCAACTTTTCTTTATTTGTCTCTCCAACGTCCAATTTAGGACCATCCTCATTGAGGAATCTAGCCAAGTTCAAGGTCGTGAGATAGAACATCATCTTTTGTTGCCATCTCTTGAAATCCATACCATTGAACTTTTCTGGCTTTTCTCCGTGATTCGGAATAGGGTTGACCGGAGTCGAAGTCGAAGCCATTTCTGAAATACAAATACAGAACATATTCACAAATAGAATCGGAAATATATGACTACGAACAGAATCTTTTGTTCATGAACAGAATTGAAAATTTCTAATATGAACAGAAACGAAAAACTTGTTCATGAACAGAATTGAAAATTTTAATACGAACAGAAACGAAAAAATTTGTTCACGAACAGAATATACAAACAGAATCGTATTCCTATACGACTATGACAAGGAACATACGAACTATACAAAAGTTCGACTTAAAGGAACGGCAATCTAGATATTTGACAGAAAAAGTCAATGAACAACGCATAAGAATATACGAACAGAACCGAAGCAAATTCGTCTTAAGATTGTTGTCGGCTAAGTTCGTATACCAGAAATTAAAATCAAACATTAGGAAAACTAACCTGAAATCAGTACAACCAAATAAGCAGAATGTTGATCCGAGCCCAACGAAATAACGTCGTGTCCTTAAGACAAATTTGGCCCCTTAATCAGTACCCGAGGATATTGGACAATCGTCTCCCAGAATAGAACGGATCTCGTTCCTCCGAAGCGGTACGTATTCGGAGGATCCCTTCGAATTCAATTTCGCAGAATAATCGCACGAAATGATGAAGTGAAAAATGTCTAGAGTGCATCGGGAAAATGTCTCGCGGGAATATGAATGCTACGAAGTGTCACTTTTCCCGAACTCAACTGTTCGGTCATATTAAAGTGGCGAAAATGAAGAGTTACGAGCTTCTTCGTGAACAGTAGCGAAGAAGGCTCACTTGAACCGGTTTGGTTCGTGAACAGTCACGAAGGGCTTCGGTTTTCATTCGGGCAAACCGAACCTCACGAACAGACATGTTTGTTTGTCCAAAATAAATAAATCAATAATTTCTAAACAACGTGTGTCTGTTCGGAAAATAAAAATAAAAACCGATAGAGAATGGACCCGGACGCCGAACCGAACCGGACGGACGGACGGCGGCGGCGGCGCACGAGCGCGGGGGGGGGGGGGGGGGGGACCGACCTAGCTTGGCGTAAGTCCTCTCCCTTCCACAAAAGCGAGGTACCCCTTGGGGCCCAAACCCATTTGTGAGGCTCAACTATTTGAACCCATCTCCCATCTCTCTTCTATTCAATGTGGGACACTTTCATCCGCACACTTTTCATTCAATTCTATGGGATTTGGACGCAAAAATCCCAACAGAATTACGAGTTAGGTAAGACGTACAGGAGTGATGTCGGTCTCTATTACTAATGAATTTCAATTAGCGGAATCCAAAAAGGCTGGTCTAAAATGGAGAAATTGTTAGACGGTCTTGGGTCTCTCTCATCCCAAAAGTTAATTCAAAAAGTAAGGTTTTCCCTCACATTTATAAACTGACCACCAGCTTCTTCCACAACCGATGTGGGATAACCCCAACAATCTCCCCCTCACACATTAGGTCTTGAGTCAAAACCTTAACAACTGATATCTCCCGTATAATTGTTAAGTCCAGACTTCTTAGTAACTTTAGCTCTGATATCAGTATTGGGTGGTCTTGGGCCTCTCTCATCCCAAAAGCTAGCTCAAAGGATGAGACTTTCCCTCACAATTATGAACTAACCACCAACCCCTTCCACAACTGATATGGAATAACCCCAACAGAAGCCGCATGCTATTTAGTAAACAGTCAAAAAAACATTTGATATGGATGGAGTTACAAGAAGGGCAAAATTGACATGGAAAGCTCTTTCATAATGTTGTACGGGGTAAAACCCGTTTGAGCATACTTCAGGCTCATAATCCATCCTTTTTATGGGTTCTTGAGGGTCCTTTATGAGGATTCTTTTGTCATATATATTAGGGTTAATACACGTGTTGCGCGTGTCAATGTACTTAGATAGTTGGGGTGTGATTACCTAGAATACGTGAGGAAAAATTATTTAAAAAGTCCTAAACCTATTAGTCATAAACATTTTAATTGTGCCAATTGAGTCCTAAACTTTTTCACGTTTTGCCAATTGAGCCAATTCGGTCAATTTTGGCAAAAATCGCTGATGTGGACGCCAGCAGTCTTACGTGGCATGGCCAGCACTGACGTGGATAATTATTAATAATATTTTTAATATTTTTCGATTTTTTAATTTTCTTTTTTTTCTTTTCTTTGTTTTTATTCCCCAACTATGGTTAGGTGAGGCGAGGGCATCGGACCCTTCGCCCAAATCCAAGCGAGGGCCGACACCCTCGCCTGTTGGCTGACGAGGGCCGTGACTCCTCGTCTGGTCTGGGTGAGGGCCACGATGCCCTCGCTAGCCACAATTGGAGAAAAAAACAAAGAAAAGAAAAGAAAGAAAAAATAAATAAATAAAAATTTTGAAAAAAATATTAAAATATTATTAAAATTTGTCCACGTTAGCGCCGGCCGCGCCACATAGGATTGCCGGGATCTACGTTAGCGATTTCCGACCAAAATTGGCCAAATGAACTCAGTTGGCAAAATCTGAAATGGTTTAGAACTCAATCGGCAATACTATTCCGATCAAAAGAAATTGGCATGATTAAAAAATTTAAGACTGAATTGACAATAGTGAAATAGGTTTATGACTTTTGGATAATTTTCCCGAATAGGTGGTTGTAGTCGTAGGGGTAGTGCCAGGTATTTTTAGAAGTATGCGAGTGGGCCAAATGTCATTTAATTTCCCGATGGAGATATGTTTACCTAGGAAAATGAGAAGGTCCGTCACCTACCCTTCGCCTTGTATAAAGTTTATGCCCTTGATCTTCAAAACCATCAAACATAAACACAAAATGCAGTTCATAATTCCCTCGAAATGTCGAAATGTTCTTCATGAAGAATGAGGGTTTCCATTGGATATAAAATGGCAAAATCGATAGGATTGAACTCTTAACAAAAACATTCATGTAGACATAGTCGTCTCATGCGATGACAACATGCGGTTTTGCTCTGCGTAGATGTTTTTTTCCTGGTCGATATTTTGGTGAATCTAACCTTCGTAACCATATACAATAAATAATGCATGACAATTATCTCCCACCACAATAGTCTTTACTATCTTTGACTTCTTTCTACCCTTAATGAGACGGGGTCCCAGCCACCATGACAATGTTTGCGTGTCATTTTAGTGGATTCAATCATGAATTTTACATTCAGAACATGACAAAGGCATCAGACTTTTTGCATACACCACCATAAAAGCAAAGCTTATATTTTCCCACCGGTCCTCTTGATTAATGGATAACAAGATAAGTATCGCCCATAAATGGATTCCTCCAATCGGAGATGTAGAAAAAGGCAAATCCATAATGAATTGTATGCATTGTCGTTATCATCGAGTGGCTTATGGAGAGAGTTTTTTTTTTCTTTCTATTTTTCCGTCAAGTAAATAGATAGTGTGAATAAATAAGCCAGTCCGCCATAAAGATGATGATTGGGGTACGCATAGGAGTATGCTTTTGACACGATTACAAGGGTCTCACACCTATTACGGAATTTTCGGATGGAATCACTGACTACTCACCTTATCCATAGATGTCCAAACCCATCCTGACAAATACCACAAGAGCACCGCAGCTTGATACAAACCCGTTCGCCGACACAAGAATCCCATGTTGGCCTAATATCCTAAAAAACCTCGAACTTTAGTTTTTGCCCAATTTTACCTTTTGTCTCATAAAAAACCTCCAACTTTAGATCTTGTCCCAATTATACCCTAAACTATTTCTTATCCCATAAAAAACCCCCCAACTTTAGGTCGAGTCCCAATTTTACCCCAAACTTTTTTTTTTCTAATGAAAACCCCTCAACTTTAGGTTCGGTACTAATTTTACTCGAAACTTTTTTGTCTCATAAAAAACTCCAGCTTTAGGTCCAGTTTCAATTTAACTCTATTTTTTTGTCTCATAAAAGATTACAAACTTTTACATGAGTCTCAAATTTGCTTTTCATTAACTCTCCGTCAAAATCGCGCTTAGTGATTTTGCACTCAGTCTTTGATCTCCTGTGCTTTCTCTCACGTCAGAGAGCTTGCGCTTCGGACGCTCGAACAGCTCGTGCTTTGGATTTTTCCATCTCTCAGTTGTCAACAAAAAATTTTGGACAGAGGGTTAATGGGGACAGATTCGTGACTCAAGTAAAATTTTGTGATTTTTTGTGAATCTACAAAAATTTTAGGGTAAAATTAAGATTGAACGGTAAAATTGGGACAAGACAAAAAGTTTGGGGTTTTTTATGAGATAAAAAAAAGTTTAAGGTAAAATTAGGATAAGACCTAAAGTTGAGGGTTTTTTATGGAACAAAAAAAAAGTTTATGGTAGAATTTGGACATAATCTAAAGTTTGAGGTTTTTTATGAGACAAAAGGTAAATTTGAGATAAAAGCTAAAGTTTGAGGTTTTTTAGGGTATTAGGACTCACGTGTTACTATCGCAAGTGAGTTTGCACTCGAACTCGTGACCTTGCAAACCAAGAGTTGCGATCCCGTACCATTAAGCCATTATTGTTACCGACATTTATTAGAAGTTTGAAAAAAAAAATTCGCGGTACCTCAGCACCACTGGCCAGAGTCATTTGATCCAAATCTATATACATCATACACGGTAGTTAGAAATAATAAGGGGAGGTGGCATATAGCCCCTACCATTTATGGGGTAGGTTAACAATTTTATTGTGGAGTTTTGGGTGGATGAAGGGGGCTGACCCTTTCAAGGGGGTTGGATTGCAAAAAGCTGTGTGTACTTGCCTCCCCTTTTATAGTTTGCCGACGGTTTATTACTTTAGTACAGAAAAGAAGAACACAGAGACACCCAACTTTTCAAACTCCCCCCAGAGCTCACTCTTTATATTCCGCAAGATCCTACACTCCATCATCGTCAGCACCAGTCCGATCGTGACTTAGATTTTCTCTCCCTGTCTGCGTCTGGACAAAGAAAGAAATAAAGAAACAAGACAGAAGGAGATGAAGATGGTTCAGTCCAAGAAGTTCCGGGGCGTGAGACAGCGTCACTGGGGCTCTTGGGTTTCCGAAATTCGCCATCCTTTGTTGTATGTTACCTCCTCCTCCTCATCCTCTACCTCATTCTTCTTCTTCTTCTTGTTCTGCGATATTGCTTCGTCACCACATTTCTGAGTCGGCCTCATTCGCCGACAATGTGTTGATGACCAAAATATTCAAGCCCCCATAAGTTTCTGGTAATGTTCTGGTTTTATAAAATGATTCGAGTCAGGCAGTTGGGAACTTGACTTTTATCGCGTATAATGAGTCAATGACAGTCCAAAACACAAAAAAAGAAGTTTCTCGTTAGGATCGTGAATATTCATCATATATCAGTTCATTTCCCACCATGGATCTATTTATCATGCGTGTACTCTCAAATTACAGGAAGAGAAGGGTGTGGCTGGGGACGTTCGAGACAGCCGAGGAGGCGGCACGAGCCTACGACCAGGCCGCCATCCTGATGAGCGGCCGCAACGCGAAGACCAACTTCCCAATATCTCAAACCCCGAACGGCGACCCGAAAACGGGCGATGGCGGCAACAGCAACGCTGCCACCGCCAATTCCTTGTCTTCCTCGAAGCACTTGGCGGAGATCCTCCATGCGAAGCTCAGGAAATGCAGCAAGACGCCGTCGCCGTCCCTCACCTGCCTGAGGCTCGACACCGAGAACTCCCACATCGGCGTCTGGCAGAAGCGCGCCGGCCAGCGCTCCGACTCCAACTGGGTCATGACCGTACAGCTCGGCAAAAAAAATGCCGATGCCATTGGAGAGTCTGGAGACCCTCTGCCACTTCCTCATCCTCTTTCCACTTCTTCTTCCACTTCTTCTTCGTCGTTGCCGTCGTCGTCGTTACCGCCGCCGCCGCCGCCGCCTTCGGAGTCGATGGTGAGAGGGGGCTTGGACGAAGAAGAGAGGATTGCCTTGCAAATGATTGAAGAGCTCTTGAACAGGAACTGCCCTGACCCTCCTTTTGGAAACCCAGCGGAGGAGGAGGATAGTTTTTATCTCTAGTCCTTTAAAAATGGTAAATTTAATGTGGTTTTATGATATAAATAACAAATGTATCGTGTATAGAGTATTGCAAGAATTCGTCATACTTTTGGAAATGATAATTGTAATGTATTGGTGAACATAATGATGCTCGAGATAAATAATGTTTATAACGACTGAAATTGGGGGTAGATGAATAAATTGAGGGAATTGTGGGGATGTATAAGTAAATATGTTAAATTGTGGGGCAAAATGTGTGGTTTGAATGCAGGAAAGAAAAGGATGGGATGGTTATCATGGTTATCACTTGACAGCATTTCTTATAATTTTGTTTCTTTTTGTTTGTTTTATTCAACTACCATGTCATATATTGCGAGATGTTATGCTACTGCATGCGTCATTTGGCTTCTAGGAGGTTATATTAAGGTTTTTTATGATTTCGAAATATTTTCATATACCGCTTGACAACGAATCTTATATATTATTTATATACACGTGGTCTTCCTTCACATACTGACTTAAACTTTTGAGTTAGATTTCATAACATGGTATCAGAGTTATTGTTATCATAAGAAATGTCCAAAGAATAGCGTTGCATCAACTGTGATTGTGGCTTAAGTTTTTAAGTTGAACTTTTTAACATAATATTAAAGCTATTGTAACGTGTCATGACCTCCCCAAGTGCGGCCATCAAGGGGCAAATTTAGGTGTCAATATAACGCCAGCTGCACCGGTCGCATTTCCTACCGTCCAAAAAACGGGTCTTATATGCTCTTATATACAAGTGATTTCCCTTTATTTATAGGTTTAAACTTTTGAGTTGGACAGTCTAACATTAGCAATCACATCCTCTAATTTTATTTTATATGACTAGATCATTCTACCAGTAACATCATTAAGATTTATAGTGTCATTTGATGCAACTACGTGACCAAAAAATTGATCCGGTCTAGCCGCTGCAGCCTCCCTTTCAATTCGTTTTCGACTTCCCCCCTTAACTAAGCATGTTAAATAAGTTAACTAAACGATGATAATTACCCACGTTTTTCTTAGTGGAACAGGATAATAAAATTCTTCCTATATATTTAAAATGAAATGGTTTTCTTGCATTAATTTTTTCTTTGCACGACGCATGCCATGGTGGTCAAATTGCCGCATTAACATTGCCATGAAAATATTCTGAATAAATTTGCTTGCAGCTGAAAATTTCGTGGGAATGTCGTTACTGGTCCAGCCAGCTGAATGTCCGAGACGTGGGTGTATAACTTTGCCGAGATTTGACGAAAGCTCTCCTCTCCCAATTTAGGCGTAAATCTAAATCTGGGAGCTTTTCACTTTTGATCTAAATATAGATCTGGAGTTTCTTAGAGACATTTGATATGTGGTGGTTCAACATGTTATTGTTGTCTTCGTATGTTAATGGTGTTGAGGACGCTAAACTTAAGCGCGCACTGCAAACCGTAGTTTTTAGATGGGAAGAGCTCGGCATGTGCCCATCACCATTGATGATTCCGATTATCTGCTGCTGATTATTTTTTTTATGCTGTGACAAATCTAGTATTTTGGGATGCAAGCGTTCTTATAGCTGCAAGCTATGCTATTTTGTTTTCTGGGTTTTGTTTTGTTTTGCGACTTTTTTGGGATTTGCTTTGCTTAGAAATTTTCTATGTTCTCTCATGTTTGATTATGACAAATGAATGAAATTTTCTTTTGACAAAAAAAAATATCCTGATAAAGTTAATAATGAAAGATTAATTAGATGATTTGGTTTGAAAAAAAGAAAAAGAAGTCAAAACGACGAAATTGCAAAATGCCATAAACTATAGAATTAAATCTAGACTTAACCTACTTTCATCGCCTCGGGGGAGGTATGTATAAGTGATGTCAATTGCGACTTGTGTCTAGTAATATTCGAGCGAATTGGTAATCTCGATCATATTAGATGAAATTAATGTTGGATTTAATAATTAGGCCAAGATTTTGTGGTGCACGTAATTGATTTAACAGATTACTTCAATCACATATTAAGATAAAGCAAGATGCAAATCACCGGGTCCTTCTGTAAATCCACCAGCTCCTACACAGTTTTCGTAGGACGAAGATCCTTTATCATGCGCGATGTCTCCATTGGTTGACAAAACTCTCAACCGTCGGTGCATTGGGCCATAACTTTTACAGCTACCCTTTTTCAAATTGATCGATGATTTGAACGAACGAGACGCCAGCAATATTGCAATTACTAATTATTAGAGGATCTCATCCCATTCCTGCATTATGACGAGCTCGCTCGATCAATGAATTGATCGGTCATTCGTATAACAAATGCATCAAATATTTTTTTTCATGCCTTGATTTCCTATCGTTGAATATATTCAAGGGTTAATATTACGAAAAATCTCAAACTAGTATACTTTTGACAAATCTACCCCAAACTAATTTTTGGGTCAACAAAAACCCCAAATCGGTATACTGGTGATAAATTTACCTAAAACTAATTTTTGGGTCATTAATTCATCATAAACCCCAAACTGTTACATTCATGACATACCTACCCTTCATGCCAAATTTTACCGTGAAATTATTGAGCTTCATGATACATGACAATAACTCAATTGATATGATAAGCCCACTTGAAATATATATATATATATATATATATATATATATCAATTTGAGGTCAATTTGTCATTAGTCCACTTTAATTTATGGTAAATTTATTATAAGTGCATTAGTTTGGAGTGTTTTGTAATATTAACTTTGTATTCAAAAGGGATTCACGTTATTGTTGTTGTGGTATACACGTAAACTGTGTAGGCAAACGTCCGACAATAAGTGTGAGGATGACCCAGGTAGGCGGTTCCCACCCTAGAATCGGGAACCGCCCGCTAATCTTTTGACTCACCCGGGAACCGGACCACGGTGGTCCAATTCCTGGGTGGGTCCATGAAACCGACCGGGGAGGCGGAGAAGGGGTAGGGAGTGGCGGAGGAGGAGGGGAAAGGCGGGCACGGATCCTCGAGTGGGGTGGAGCAGAGGTAGGAGAGGGCGAGACGAGGGGTGAGATGAGTACGACGACCACGAGGTGGAGCGGGAGTGGAGGAGGGTGGGGAGAGCAGGGGGAGCGAGAGTCGGGTTCTTACGAAAGGGTCAAATTCAGGCGTCGAATGAAAAGAGTGAAAGATGGTGGAGAGAAGATCTACATCTCTCTAGAGAGAGAGAGAGAGGATGGACGCAAATTGTGAAAGGTAATAATGGACATTGGTTCGAGGCGACTCGCTCCAACGAGGCAGGCTGTGAAAGATGATGGATGCAAACGGTGAGGTATGTTTAGAAATCAAGAACGGAGAAATTCTCCTTTGAAGGTTCTTGGAGCCCAGCTCAGCGAGAACGAAGAAATGGCCATGAACGTGTAGCTCTATTTAGAGAGAGAGAGAGAGAGGGGGGGGAGAGAGATCTTGCAAGGGTCTACTTTTTTTCTGGAAGAAGAGAGAGAGAGAGAGTGCCGTATTAATTGAAGAGAGTGAGGATGCAGGAGCTTGAACGAAGAGAGAGAGAGAGAAGAGGAGACAGAGCTGCTGGACGCATAAGAAAGAGAGGAGAGAGCGCTATTAATTGAAGAGAGAGAGAGGATGAGGGAGGTTTGAATGGAGAGAGAGAGAGAGAGAGAGAGAGAGTGAGAAAAGTGGGAGAGAGTGATGGACGCGCAGAAGAAAGAGGAGAGTGAGAGTGCCGCAGTAAATGAAGAGAGAGAGGAAAGTGGAGAGAGATGATGGTTGATCCGTGATCGTGTAAAGACAGAGGAGAAAGAGAGGGGGGAGGGGAGAGACAGTGTTGTATTAATTGGAGAGAGAGAGTTTAGTATTTTTCCTTTTTATCTACTCTACTCTAATTTTTAATTCACTTTCGGAATTTTTATGTTAACAGAGCATAAGAGTCAAAATTCGCATCTGAAATTACACGTCTTCACCCCTACTCCCTTGATAAGTTGTGGATTCAAACTCTCCACCTTCCCCCTTCCCAAATAGGAAGGGTGGCCGCCGAGACAAACCCCAGTGATTGAGTCTAGTACTTAAAAGCTTAAATTTAAGGGTTAATACTACGAAAAATCCCAAACTGATATACTCCGTGATAAATTCATTCAAAACTATTTTTTTTACCACGAAAAGCCTCAAACTGGTACACCTGTGACAATTTTTCCTCGAACCAATTTTTTTACTACCAAAAACCCCAAACTGGTACACCTGTGACAAATTTACTCCGAACTAATTTTTTTACCACCAAAAACCTCAAACTAGTACACCTGTGACAAATTTATCCTCCGTTAATTTCTGTTAAATTTTACTGTCAAATTGCTAAGTTTGATGACACGCGGTAGTTAACGGGTGTACCAATTTGGGGTTTTACCCCTCTGTTTGTCACAAGTTTACCAATTTGTGATTTTTCGTAATATTAATCCAATTTAACTGACATTAACGGAGGGTAAATTTGCCACAAATTTACTAGTTTAGGATTTTTAGTAGTCAAAAAATTAGTTTGGGGTAAAATTGTCACAGGTGTACTAGTTTGGGATTTTTTGTGGTAAAAAAATTGGTTCGGGGTAAAATTGTCACAAGTACACTAGTGTGGGGCTTTTGGTGGTAAAAAAAATAGTTCGGGATAAATTTGTAACGAGCGTACCGGTTTAGGGTTTTTGGTGCTCAAAAAATTGGTTTTGAGTAAAATTGTCACAGAGGTACCAGTTTGAGATTTTTCGTAATATTAACCATAAATTTAAATATATATATATACGTGTACTGGTCCGGTCCGGGTGGGCAGGCGGTCGATTCCACGCCTGGAACAAAAAATCGACCCGGTACCCACCGGTTTCAAGAAATAAGAACCAGAAACCGGATCGATCCCCGAGAAAATCGTCAGTTCTGAACCGATTCGATCCAGTTATTTTGCACATCCCTATTCGACAACCCGTTTTGTCGCTGGTGTAGAAATGGAAATACGAGGATGGGGGGGTATGCGGAGATTGATATTGACGGACACGACGAAAAGTCTCCCGGCAGCAATCGTGCACTCGTCACTTCACTAATGTCGTGTCCTTTCGTGTGTTGTGTGGGTGGGGCCATATTTAGTACCCCTACTTTGCGGTTCCCGCATGTTTCCTTTCTCGTGTCTCTGCGGTCAAGAAAGGGAAGCTCCTCTGTTCATCAACACCTCACATCTTACGAGTGCAAAAGGAAGCAAAAAGGTGATTGCGATTTCGAGTCGTTTCTCCAGCGCGGGTGGACAAAATCAAACCCCCCTGCCGTTCGGATCTTCCCATCATCAACGGTTGTGGAGCCTGAGCTATGTACCTCGAATGTGATGGAAGGGGTCACTGAGAAATGGTCGGTGACTCGGAAGTTATCTGGGAATGGAGGAAGTCATGAAGACGTGAGAGCAATCGAGTATGGAAATTGCACACGGGCATCTATAGGGCTGAGCATGGTCCGGACGAGCGG